AGGAGGGAGGAGGGAGGAGGGGAGGAGGGGAGGAGAGGAGGAGGGGAGGAGAGGAGGAGAGGAGGGGAGGAGGAGAAGAGGAGAAGAGGAAAAGTGGAGACGAGGAGAAGAGGAACCGATGAACAGAGGAGGAGGAGGAAGAGGTGGAGGAGGAGGTCGGTGGAGGAGGTCGGTGGAGGACGAGGAGGGTGAGGAGGAGGTGAAGGAGGAGTTGGAGGAGAGCTGGATGGTATGCGGTGGTGGCTCCTGCGTGGGAGCTTCCCCTCGAGGTGGGGCTGACGGCCGAGACCCTGGCCGCCGCCTGCGGCAGACTGCCTGGTGCCCTGCCCAAGCTGGACCTTTGGCGGGCGGGCGGAAAGGTTTCCGGCGGCGACAAGGAGGACACCCACAGACACACACACACAGTCTTAAAACCCGCACACACAGACACACAGCGACACACGCACACACACACACACACACACACACACAGAAACAGACACAGACACAGTGACAGACACACACACACAGACACACAGCGACACACGCACACACACACGCACGCACGCACACGCACACGCACACGCACACGCACACGCACACGCACACGCACACGCACACGCACACGCACACGCACACGCACACGCACACGCGCACGCGCACGCGCACGCGCACGCGCACGCGCACGCGCACGCGCACGCGCACGCGCACGCGCACGCACGCACGCACGCACGCACGCACGCACGCACGCACGCACGCACGCACGCACGCACGCACGCACACACACACACACACACACAGACACACAGACACACGCACGCGCACGCACGCACGCACGCACGCACGCACGCACGCACACAGACACAGGCCTTCGCAGAAATCGAAGAAACATAACGCCATAAACATAGTGTTGGCGCTCCGCGCGGATTTCTTGCATCCGCGTTTGGGGGCGAGGGAGGGGGGGGGAGTCAAAATCTAGGCCTCCAAGATGGGGTCCGAGTAGGTGGGGTCGGAGGATCGCGCCGCATCGATGACGCATCGACGACGCGGCTCGATGTGGAACTCGTGTTTCCCCACGCCAGCGCGGCCGATGCATCGCCGACGTCGCCGATTCAACGCCGATACATCGGCGATGCATTGGCGATGCGGCGCGACCCATCGACCCCAGATAATCGGACCCCATCTAGGAGGCCTCTAGAAAAGGAGGAGGCCTTTTCAGAAGCCGAAGAGGAAAAATTGCGATAGTCATAAACTGTCGGCGCTCCGCGCGGATTTCTTGGATCCGCGCCTGGGCCCCCCCTCGGCGCGTTCCGCGCGCCAGGGAGGGGGGCCCAGCGCGGATACAAGAAACCCGCGCGGAACGCCAAAAGTGTTTCTGTTCACATCGGTTCTTCTTCTTCTTCTTCTTCTTTGTCTTTTTCTTCTTCTTCGGCATGCGACGGATCTTCTTTGCACTGCTTCGGCCAAGCTCGGCATGCTTTTGCGACCAAGTTGCCGGCAGAAGTTCTTCTTCTTCGGCCATTCGCACCGAAGGCGGCGGGGCTTTTCAGAAGCCCGCGCGCCTTCCGAGAAGCGCTGCTGCGTCTTCGGGGCAGGCTCAGGGAACTGCTCAGAAGGCCGGCCTGGGGGCTTCGGGCGTTCTGAGAGGGTCTGCCCCCTTCTCTCGCTCCCCCCCCCCGGCGGGGGGGCAGAGCGGAGGAGACTGGGCGTCGCGTACTTCGGGCCGGACGAAAGGGGGGGATTGGGAAAGGGGGGGGGGGTACACGTGCACGGGGAGGGGACGTCCGAGCGACGGCGGCGGCGAGACGAGGGGCACGGGGCCCTGAGGGCAACGGATCCCGGACCCCCCGGGGGACGGTCCCCAGGCTCCCGGCCCTTCGCCCGGGGTCGCTCTGTCTTGACGGTCCTGGGGCCCCCCGTGGAGAGCCGCGGGGGGCGTGAGCACTCGGGAGCGTCAGGCCAAGGGCGCCCCCGAGGGCTCGAAGCTCTTCGCGCTTCGCGGTTCGGCCCCGAGTCCTCTTCATCCTCCTCTTCTCCCCTGGGAGGCGGCGCGAGAGCGCGAAGCTATTCGCACTTCGCGCTTCGCGCTGCGCGAAGCGCGAAGTTGGGAGCCCTTGATGAGTGGAGCGCGCGTCGCCTTCCGCTTGTGCGCATTCCTCGTTAGCGCCTTGCGCAGTAGACATGCGCCTATGCGACCACCCTCTTGGTGAGGAGGAGGCTGTGTGTGTGGGGGGTTCTGCTGATGACACCTGCGATGGGACACCATCGGGACACCCTAGGAACAAATACATGATCACACCATCGGGGCACCATGGCAGTCCATCCGTCCACTATTTGTCTATCGATCTCACTATCGGCCTCACTAGAGGTCTCGCTGTCGATCTCACTATCGATGCCACTATTTGTTTATCGATCCCACTATCGGCTTCGCTATCGATTTCTCATTATCGATCCCAGTGTCGATTGCACTATATGCTTGGAGATCCCGTATAAATCAATCTCGCATTGCCTCCTATCTGTCTATCGATCTCATTGTTGATCTCACACTCGGTCATTATCAACTACATAGCATTCAGTCACACTATCAAGCGGACCCATTCTCCATCTCACGATGCATCGATATCATTAGCTATATGCCTATACATGGTCCAGGGCTTGGGCCCCCCCCCAATGCTGATGCCATTGGGCCCCCCCCCCCCCGCGATGGTCCCCCCCGCCCGCCCCCCCCTGTGGGCGTGGCGTGGTGCTGCGCTGCGGTGCCCCCCCCCCCCCCTGTGGATGTGGTGTGGTGCTGTGGTGGTTCAGAGGTGGGCGTGGCGTGGTGCTGCGCTGCGGTGCCCCCCTCCCCCCCCCCTGTGGATGTGGTGTGGTGCTGTGGTGGTTCAGAGGTCGTCGTCGTCGTCGTCTCGTCGTCCTCGTCGTCCTCGTCGTCGTCGTCGTCATCGTCGTCGTCGTCGCCGTCGTCATCGTCGTCATCGTCGTCGTCGCCGCCGCCGCCGGCGTCGTCGCCGCCGCAGCCGTCGTCGTCGTCGTGGTCGTCGTCGTCGTCGTCGTCGTCGCCGTCGTCGTAGTCGTCGCCGTCGTCGTCGTCGTCGTCGTCGTCGTCGTCTCTGGGACCATACCATCTGGGGGGGGGGGGGGCGAGGAATCCTGGGACCATACCATCTGGGGGGGAGGGGGGGGTGGCCCGTGGGCCCGGAGCCCAGGACCATATATCTATCGATCTCACGCGACATCCATGTGGATAACTACCATCGGGACACCACCTGGACGCCATCAGAACATCATCGGGGCAGCATGGGGACACCATCGGGCACCATGTGGACACCATCGGGACGCTGCTGGGACACCATGGCGACAGCATCGGAACACCATCGGGACACCCATCGAAACACCCTCGGGACACCGTCAGGACACCATCGAGACACCATCGGGACACCATCGAAACACCATCGGGACACCATCGGGACACCGTCAGGACACCATCAGGACACCATCTGGACACCATCGGGACAACATGGGAACACCATCGGGACACCATCTGGACACCATCGGGACATCGTCGGGGAACCATGTGGAGTACCATCGGAACACCACGGGGACACCATCGGGACGCCATCGGCTCACCATCGAGACACCATCGGAACACCCCCAAGCCACTGCCAGCCAACCAGCGGGACACCCCCGAGCCACCGCCGGCCAGCCGGGGAGTAGCAACAATTGGCCCAGAATCGCTCTGGCAGCGGCGAGTTCATTTCGCCAGCGCGCCCACGCAGCCTCGACTCGCCCGCCTGCACGCACGACACGAAGCCGAAACGGATTTCTGGGGGGTGTCTCTGTTTCACTTCGACCTCATCTCCAATTTCCGATATGCACAGCTCTTCGACAGTAACACGCTACTGGGTCGTCGAGCCAGCGCGACGCTGACATGATCATTGCTCTCCGAGAAGCAGGCGAAGACCTCCCAGGGCGCCTCTTCGTTCTCCAGGGCCGACTTCCTTCGTGCTGAGCTGTCGGCTCGGTCTTTCGGTCGCCAGATCACTCAGTACTAGCCGATTCTGGGCCACTGGCGGCGTTCAACCTGCCCCCTATGATCCGCCGTCGCGAAGCGTTTGAAGCATCGCGAGGAGTCATGGCCAGAGCCCCAGACCCCATCTCCCCGCGGCACTTCTCCCAGCCCCTCGTCGAGCTGTGATGGCCCCGCAGCCCCGGTGCCGGGCGGAAACGCCCAGCGTGAACAAATGGCGGCGCCAGGATCTCGGGGTCGAACGCCCGCGCTGGGGTCGCCGCCCCGTCGACGGGGCCCGAGTTTTTCTTTATTGCATCGCGTCGCTCATTCCGCCGGCCCGTGGGGGCCTCTTGGGGGCTTCCTATAGGGCCTCCAGGAGGCCTCTTGGCGGCCTCCGGGAGGCCTCTTGGGGGCCTAGTGGGGGCGTCTTGGGGGCCCTTTGAGGGCTCTTGGGGGCCTCCTGGGGCCTCTTAGGGGCCTCTTGGGGCTCAGGGTCGACGGGGCCCGAGTATTGTTTTTTGGTCTGCAATAGCCGCGGGCACGAGTGGCCTCTCGGGCGCGCCGCCTGCCGTCGGTCCTCGGCCGGCGTCGTGGCCGCGAGCGCCACCCCCCGGCAGGAGCGGATGAGCCTCGGCGGCAACCTCCTGGGCGACGCCGCGCGCCCAGTGCGCGCCCCTCCGGGGCCGCCAGAAGGGGGGCGGCTCGACGCTTCCAAGGCGCCTGCGGCGAGTCACTTCGGAGCGTGTATTACCTACCCCGCTTTCGCTTCCAGGTAAAACCAAGTCATACCACGCGCCTCCTCGTCAAGCGGCCTGACCAGTACAGGCCGTAGTTTGGCATCGCTTGGTATCTCTTGGAAGCGAGGGTGGTCAAAAGCGAGGTGGGTTTGTTTGCCCCCTATCACTGCCGCCCCCCTGCCTTGCGGAAGAACCCACGCGGCCAGAGGCTGGGCCGAAGGTTGGGCCGAAGTATAATGTGGTCTGTGTGTTCCCCCGGCCCTGCGGAGCCTGTAGAGGCCGCGAGCAGTGGGCTGTCCAGGTTTGATTTGGTTGGCTTCGGCTGGGAAGCGATGTTGGCGCCGCTCCGTCAGCTCGTTTTTTTTGCTATTGGTTTGGGCGGATCGCGTGGTTTGGTGGTTCGATCTTGCGTGGCGGGTCCGTGCAGTGGGCTCTCTCTGTGTTGTTGTCAGTGCGGGCTGCTCTGTTCAATGGAATCAATTGGCATGGCGCCACCACGCATCGAAAGGGCTCGGCCCAAACGATATCATACGTCCTGTGAGGGCTCTCAAAAGGGCCTCTTGGAACTCTGCGGGAGGGACTCAGAAGTCCTCGGGGGGGGGGGGCTCCGAGCGCTCAAACCCCGCCTGCCCACGAGCCCCGGTTACCCAAACATCTACGAAACATCTGCGACACATCTACGAAACATCAACGAATCGTCTACGAAACATCTACGCACGCAGAAACATCTACGAAACATCTACGAAACATCTCCGGTGGATTTCTGGGGGGTCGAAAACGACGCGGTCGCATCTGCTGAAACCGTGGTCGCGCGAGCCCGATTCCGTTCACGGGCCGAACCTCGCCTGAAGTGCTGTAGATTACGATACACAAGCGTGGTGGTCGCGCGAGCCCGAATCCGTTCGCGGGGCGAATTTCGTCGGAAAAACATTTACAGACATCGACGAAACATCTACGAAACATCTACGCACGCAAAAAAACATCTACGAAACACATACGAAACATCTACGAAACATCTCGCCCCGTTCCCGCGAGTAAGCCACGTCCGATGGGCTCGTCGCCATGGCTGGATTCCTGAGTGCGATTACGGGTCGGCGCTGGCTGTCCGTGATCACCGGCATCGGGGGCTTGGAGCCGCGCGCGGGGGGGGCGGGGTCGATGTGGGGGGCCAATCAATTGGCATGGCTGTGTGCGCGGTGTTTCCACGGGGGGGCAGGTTGACGTCGCAGGCATCGCAGCGCTGGCCGCTGCGTCAGGCGATTTTTCCATGAGCGGGCCGAGCGCAGCATTCGAAGCAAGACGCAACTCAAGAAAGGAATCATACTGGGCAGAGTGTCCTGGAGTGCGTCCGAGCGTCGGCCGGGGCCCCCTGGGCTGGTTTTTGGGCGGTCGTTTCGATTATTATTTGGACAGTCTTCCCCAGGCCATAAGCCGCGGCCTCTACAGCGGAGCCCCTTGGGGGAACGCTTGGGTGAGGAAGAGGAGGAGGAAAGGGACGAGAAGAAGGACAAGGAAAAGGAGGAGGAGGAGGAGGCCTCCTGGGGCCTTCTGCGGGCCCCCCCGTCAGACAGGTGCGAAAGTTTCCTTAAATTGGGCACGCGCTATTTTTCAGCGAGCCGCATCACTTGGCGAGGCGGTCTCCCTGGCCGCGGCCCAGGTCCTTTACCCTGGACGGCAGGTCGCGGCACAGGCCGTCGACGCGTCACAGGCGCTATCGACTTGCGCCGCGCAGGCCTTCAGCCGAGCGCGGCCCGCCTCCAGGGTTTCCTTGCAGCACCGTTTCGGGAGCGTTTTCGTGAGCCTGTCCCGCATCAGCGACACCGCGGTCTCGTGGAGCATGGCCTCCTGGAGATGACCGGGCTGCACAGACCCTGTGAACTCACAAGGTTCCGTCACGCTTGCAACGTCGGAACCATTATGGAACCATCGTGGAACCAAGCAGGAACCCTGTGGATTCATAGGGTTTCGTCACATTTGCGACGTCGGAACCATCGTGGAACCATCGCGGAACCAAGCAGGAACCCGGTGGATTCATACGGTTTCGTCACACCTGCTGCGTCGGAACCATTGTGGAACCAAACAAGAACCTTGTGATTCAGGTTTCGAACCCTGTGGATTCATAAGGTTTCGTCACACTTGGGACGTCGGAACCATCGTGGAACCAAGCAGGAACCCTTTGAGTTCATAGGGTTTCGTCACAGTTGCGACGTCGGAGCCATCGTGGAACCAAGCAGGAACCCTTTGAAATCATATGGTTTCGTGACATGTCAACCTTTCGGGACCATCGTGGAACCAAGCTGGAACCATCGTGGTCGGGCGCCGGGCCGTATAAAACGACGCGGATCGGCGATCGCGGGTTCGCCGCCCCATTCTTATTTTAATACTAATTAAAAGATGGGGCACGGCGCATCTACGCCCCTGCGCCTGGAGCAGAGGGGTACCCACAAGTCGTATTATACGAGGGCCGCTGGGCCCCAAACTCCCCCCCCCCGGCCCCCGCCTTGAACCCCCTCTCTGAGCTCCGGGCATCGGGGCGGGCATAACATTGCATTGCGATGGATGGAATTCCGACGCGAGCCCAGCTGCGGCGACAGGGGGCCCCCAGGGCGAGCGGCGGACCAGCCATGTGACGTCGCATCGTTTCCTCGGCTGCCCGCGAGCCTGGCGACTCCGCGTTGCTTGCCCTGCCCCTGAGCCCTGGCCTCGTCTCCCTTCCGTGCCCGCTCCTCCCCAGGAATCACATTTCATTTAAGGAAACAGTTCGCACCTGTCTGGTGGGGGCATCCTGGGGGACCTCTCAGGGAGTCGCTCGGGGGCCACTTTGGAGATCTATGGGGCCGTGTTGGGGCCGTGTTGGACCCTTCTTGGGCCGCTTTGTGGGCCTCTTGGAGGCCTGTCGGGACGTCGCGGGGCGATCCTTGGGGCCAGTGGTGCCGTCTTGGAGCGTCGGAAGCCCGAAGAGGCGAGAGCGCCCAAAGTCACAGAAACGCAATCGTTGGTTGGGCCCTCACGGGGCCATACTGGCTGTCTCGGAGGCGTTTCGGGACCATCTCGGAGGCAATCTTGGGTCATCTCGGCCGTCTTGGGGTGGTTGTTTGTGGGCGGTGAGGTCGTTGTGGGTCCTTGCGCGCGGCCGGCGCAACCCGCCGAGACCCAGTCGGGAAGCGCTCTTTCATTATAAAAGATCTTCGGCAGGCCGTGCAACCCCCGTGGAAAGATCACAGGGGGCGGCGGAAGCAGGTAAACGCGCGTAGCGCCGCGATCCGTTAGCCGGGAAAAGTAACGGGGGGGAGTGTGAGGGGGTGGGCTTCGCCAGCCCGCATCTTGCACGTCCAGTGTTCGGCCATGTTCGGCCCCAGATGTCCCAAGACAGCCCCAAGAGCGCCCAAACTGCCTCCAAGACGGCCTCAGGGAGGCCCAAGAGGACCCCAAGACGTTGCAACACGGCCCAAGAGCGCTCGAAGAGGGCCCAACATCGCTTCAAGACGGCCAAAGAGGTCCTCAAGACGCTCCAGAAGGCTTCGCAAAAGGACACCACGAGGCACAAGTCGTCCCATTCCCTCGGGAAACGTGCATATTCCGCACTGGTTCGAATAGAGTCTACGACGGCCCCAGCACTCGCAAAGTGCCTACGCGCACGCGTCCGAAAGACACATGTCTGTTTTGACGTAATGTATCGTCGATCCCCCGCGGGGGATCCAGGCCATTTGCGCGCAGTTACTCTGCGAGTAGTGGAACGCGTTCGTCTCGAGTCTGGACGCCCGAAATGAAACGGAAAGAATGGGTACAATGCCCAACAGCAGTTCCTGTTCATTTTGAACAGGATGCGCTGTCCACGCCGCCGCGGCCTGTGTCCATTCGAGACAGAAGGCCGCCTGCCCAACAGCGGCCGCTTGCCCAACAACGCCCGTTGTTGTTGTTGTTGTTGTTGTTGTTGTTGTTGTTGCTGTTGGTGGTGTTGTTGGTGTTGTTGGTGTTGTTGATGTTGTTGTTGTCGTTGTTGTTGTTGTTGCTGTTGTTGTTGTTGTTGCTGCTGCTGCTGTTGTTGTTGTTGCTGTTGTTGTTGTTGCTGCTGCTGCTGATGTTGCTGCTGTTGTTGTTGTTGTTGCTGCTGCTGTTGTTGTTGTTGTTGAACATTATTAATTCTAAAGAATAATTATTGTTGGGACCCCTGGTGCACGGCCCCCCTGCGCCGCCTAGGCCGCAGCTACATGTTCATCATTTTCGTGAGGAAGCCTCAGGTAATACGATGTCATCAAGATCCGGCTGTTTTGTTGTAATCCGTTTTCCCTTGCAAAAAACACTATAAAATGACATTTCTTGTTCTAATATAATCAAATTTCAAGAATCCCTTGCAAAAAATAAGGTAAAGTGGACATTCGCGCGCGCAAGACGAAATCCTTCCAAAAGCTTAGTGTTCGGAGCGATTTTAACATAAAAACATCAAAAAACCAATGGTTTTTCAACAAAAAAATGTCAAAATCTCATCCCGCGCGCTCTTGCGGATTCGTAGGAAAACCAACACTTTTTAAACATTTCTGTCAAACGGGCTTTTGCGAGCAACTTTTTCGAACTTCTGCGACAACGGTTGCGCACCTGCCAGGGCCATCATCCCTGTCAAATAATACCATGCGGGACACATTCGTTTTTTCTTCGCGCGCGCACGCCGAAATCTCCAAAAACCATTGGGCTTCTTAAGAATTTTAGCACCGCGCATCATAAAATCACACGAATCGCACCGTAGGTCCTCGAAAAACACCTGCACGACTTTTCAAAATTTCTACCCGCTTAACAACTTCTGTGGGTGTACGAACGTAGGCTTAACAACTTCTGTGGGTGTGTACTCCACGCCAGTGTAGTAGCCACGGTCGTCCGCAGGCCACGAAGTGAAGTGTCCGAACGTCATAGGGCGGGAAGCTGGGTGTGGGTGGTGGCGAAGAGTCGTGTGGATATTTGGTAGAGCTTGCACTGCCCCCCCACAAAGTGGGGGTATTGGCTGGCGTCGCATGAAAACCCTGGCACTGGTGAGAACACTGAGCGTTCGGGTAAAGTGATTGTTGAACATATTCCTTCTAAAGAATTATTATTGTTGGGACCCCTGGTGCGCGACCTCTGCGCCGCGCCTAGGCCGCAGCTACATTTTCATCATTTTTTCGCGAAAGCTTCAGAAAAGTGGATGAGCTCCGGATCCGGTTTTTTGTTGACGCTCGTTTTCCCTTGCAAAAAACAATAGAAAATGAAAATTCTTGTTTTTACTTGATCAAATTGCAAGAATCCCTTGCAAAAAATAAGGTAAAGTGGACATTCGTGCGCGCAAGACGAAATCCTTCCAAAACCTTAGGTTTCGTAGCGATTTTAACATAAAAACATCAAAAACCCAATGGTTTTCTCAGAAAAAATTGTCAAAATGTCCTTCCGCGCGCTCTTGCGGATTCCTAGGAAACCCACCAGATTTTAAACATTTCTGTTAAAAGGGCCTTTGCGAGGAACCTTTTCAGGTGCTTCGACCTTCTGCAACAACGGTTGCGAGCCTACGAGGGCCACCATCCCTTGCAAAAAACGACACGAAGTGCACATGCGCGCGGCCGCCGCGCGCGCGTGCCGAAATCCTGCCAAACATAATGTGATTTCAATAATTTCAAGATGGAAGCATGGCGCATGAGGGTAAACTGATTGTTGTTGTTGTACCTCGACACGCTGTGCACCGCGCGAGGTATCGTCGCCTGGAAAGCCAACCTCTTCGTCCACCCGGGCCAGTGGGTGTATAGCAGTATGCGGTATTTGCTCGGTCAGCTCGCTATTCCCATTCATGCGGAGATCGTATCCGGCCTCTCCTACAGGGCCCTCGCCACCTTGGACGTATTCATTGCGTATCACGCGGCCTTCATGGGTACGGACCCGCAGAAAATGGCCATTTGGAACGTATCCCCTGAGGTCGGCCCAGAGATGAAGTATCCGCGTCAAGACCAGTGGTGGTGGTTGCCCGTATGGCGGTCTTTTGGTCAGAGCGACGAGTATCCGAACATGCTCGATTACCCGGCCTTGCCACCGCAGGTCCACAACGTGCTCGCGTTAGCACTGCCGTATGCAAGCCCCGGCTCTCTCGCCAGCAGGCGTATCGGCAATATCATTGGGCATTTGGGAGCGCACGGGTATCAGCCAGGCCCGCACCTGCATCAGCCAGGCAGCCATGTACCCAAGCGCCTTTGCGACGTCGCAGACGACGAGTCGCCTTAGTATGCTTCTGGGTGAGTATACTCCTACGTGTGACTGGACCTGTTTGCGAAAGCAGGAGAAAGTATGGCACCCCTTTGTGTCCAGAGCCGCGCCGTCTGCGTTATTCCTTTCTCGCTTCTCTCCTTTCCTCCTTGTCCTGCTCCTCCTCCCCCTCTTGCGCCTCGGAGCCGTATTGGAACTGTCGATGGCCATCTCCCTGTCTCCCTCGCATGTCTGCTTGTACATATGTATAATTTCAGAACTAAACGTGCATGTGATCGTTTAGAACATGGTGGACCGTGCGTATGTCACGAACCTTGTGTACTTTCTCTCCCTCCGTCTGGCTGTGCACGCGCGCGTTGGGCAGTGAGAGTTAGGATCACAGCGCCACCAGTGTATGAGCAATGCATGCGTCATCCTTGGGACTGTATAACAGCAGAAACAGACAACATTGCATCGCAGCGGGACAGCCATCGGGACAACCATCGGGACAACCATCGGGACAACCATTTGGACAAGCATCGGGATAACGATCGGGACAACCATAACCATCAGGACAACCATCGGGGCAACCATCGAGACAACCATCGGGACAACGATACCTTCTCTCTTGTGTCCTCCCACATCCCTCAGGAAGTTGCCCTAAAGATGTGACCGACTCCTCTCTCTCCTTCTCTCTGTCTCTCGCTCTTTCTCTGCTTCATATCTATCATACGTAACACATCTACTTGTGTAATCGCCTTCCCAGGAATTTGCCTCAAAAATGTGACCAACTATCTTGGCACTGCGTACCATCTCACGTGTACCGTGTACCACATCTTCTCAGGTTGCCTCACACATGTGACGAATCTCTTTCTATCTCTCTCTCCACTGGCTCTCTGTCTTGCTCTCTCTCTCTCTCTCTCTCTCTCTGTCTCTCTGTACTATGTATGTCATACGCAACAAATGCACCATGCGGGGCACATGCGGGGCCCAAACAAGTGATCAACCTCTGCGGGTGTGTACTCCACGCCAGTGTAGTATCCACGATCGTCCGCGCGCCACGAAGTGAAGTGTCCTGACGTCATAGGGCGGGAAGCTGGGTGTGGGTGGTTCCCGAGAGTCGTGTGGATGTTTGGTAGAGCTTGCATTGCCCCCCCACGAAGTGGGGGTATTGGCTGGCGTCGCATGAAAACCCTGGCACTGGGGAGAACACTGAGCGTTCGGGTAAAATGATTGTTGTTGTTGTTGTTGTTGTTGTTGTTGTTGGGCAGTGTGCCCATTGTTTCCGTGCCCATTTCGGGTGTCCACGTAGAGGCAGACGACGGTGAGCCTCCCGCGGCCGATCGATCGAGCCGCCCCGGGCCGCCCAGGCCGGCGTCGGGGCCCTGGCGCTGGCGCTGGCCGCCGGCTGTGCGCCGCGCCTGCGGTGGCTGGGGCTGGACTCGTGCGGCGCGGGCCCAGGTCGGCAGGGTGCAGAAGCTCGGGCGGGCGGCAAAGGGGGAGGGGGGAGGAGGAGGAGGAGGAGGAGGAGGAGGAGGAGGAGGAGGAGGGAGGAGGAGGGAGGAGGGAGGAGGAGGAGGAGGAGGGAGGAGGAGGAGGAGGAGGAGGAGGAGGAGGAGGAGGAGGGGGAGAAGAGGAGGAGGAGGAGGAGGAGGAGGAGGAGGAGGAGGAGGAGGAGGAGGAGGGAGGAGGAGGAGGAGGGAGGAGGAGGAGGAGGAGGAGGAGGAGGAGGAGGAGGAGGAGGAGGGAGGAGGGAGGAGGAGGAGGAGGCGGAGGAGGAGGAGGAGGAGGAGGAGGAGGGGGAGGGGCAGAAACTCGGGTGGGTGGCAAAGGGGGGTGTCCTGACTGGGAGGTGAAGAGAGAGAGACGGGCCCTGAATGGGGGCCCTTTTAGGGCTCCTCTGTTTGAGCCCCTGCTGCCTCCCAAAGGGGGCCTCTCGACTCTTGAGGACCCCTTCGGGGCGCCGTGCCTTCTCCCCGCACCGAGGTCCCCTCCCCCCCTTACCGCCCGCCCGAGCTCCTCTCCAGGCCGCCCAGGCGGGGATGCGGCAATGACCTTCTTGGGGGAATGGCGCCGCACCGCCGATGCATCAGCGATAGGGGGCTCGATTCGGAGCCCGATGCTCTCCACGCCGATGTCGCCGATGCGTTGCCGACGTCGTGGATGCATCGCCGATGCGGCGCCATCCACCGACGCCGTCTGCTTCGGCCCCACTCGGGCGGCCCACCTTCCTTGATTAATCTCAGAGGGTGAAGAGATGCCGATTCCGCTGACCATCCTCCTGCCGCCACGGCCGGATTCGCCTCGGAATCTGGGTCAGAACGCGCCACGGGAGAATTCTGGGGAGTATCGGGTATGGGTACGGTAGGTCTGCGTCGTGTCGACCGGCGGCGACCCCGCCGTGGGCGCTCAGGGTTGAACACCACCAGTGGCCCAGGATCGGCCTACATGAAACAATCGGGCGATCGAAAAGCCGCCGATCGTTCAAGATTAAACGATCCACGCGGTGTCAGAAACCAACGCCGGGGTCGTCACGACACAAACCTGCCGTGTATTTGTGTCCCGTGCCCCCTACCCGAATTGGCGGGCCAAGTCCTCGGTCCTGCCCCCAGCTTGGGGAGCTCAGGAGTATCAGAAAGTGTGCGAGAACTTCGCACATGAAGTATAGGAACCAGAGAGGCTGACGCAGCGAGCAGAGACCTCCACGGGTCTCAGCATGTCAGAGGTGCTCTGAGTTATGGGTCGAAGGCGATGTGTTGAAGAGGACTGGCAAGGCGGCCGTGTCGAACCATCCCCCCGCCTCTCCATCTCTCTGCTCCCCTCCCCCTGTCTCCTTCCCTCCTCTCCCTCGATCGGGCCGGACGAAAGGGGGGATTGGGAAAGGGGGGGAGGCAGCTGGTTTCGGCCGCACCGAGGGGCTCATTCCTCGATACATAGCCGCCTCCGGCGCCGGGAGGCGCCGGGAAAATCAGCTACGTGAGCTGATTCTCAAACCCCCCCTTTGCTATCCCCCCCTTTCGCCCGGCCCGACTCGAGGGGTGCGTGGGACAGGGAGTCGGTTTGGCAGGCGCGCTGTGGATCCCCCGGTTGCTGAGCGGCCGCGTCTGGGGCGGCGCGCCCCCCTGGGGGTACACGGCTACCCCACGCCCTCCCGCGGGAGGGCGGCTCCTGTTGAGTTTTCGCGAGGGGAGGGAACCTGTGCCGCCGTTCTGAACGAACGGACAACACACACCCATACCCATAGGGGGGGCGGCTGGAGGAGGACTTGCTATGGGTATGGGTGCGGGTTGTCGGACCACGGGGGAGTCTCCCGGTCGAGCGGGGAGCCCCATCCAACAACACGCACCCATAGCCCCCTCCGTCCTCCCTATGGGTATGGGTGCGTGTTGTTCGTTCGTCAGTTCTGTTCGGGTGCTGGCGGATTTTGCCACAGTCTGGCAGTCCCCTCTCCTGGTCATCGGATGTGCACTGAGGGCGGGACTGCTCGAACCTTCCTGGATGAGGGCCGTCGGGGCTCCGGCCCTTTCCCTCTCTGGGCATCCAGGAGACAGGCCGGGGACGCCCCTGGTCCAGGCGATCCGGCATCTGATGGCTTCTTGGGTCTGTCTGACTTTGTGTCCATATGGGACCGTATGCGGTCGGTTGTGGCAGTTCGGAGAATCAGGCTCGAGCATAGACGCGCGCGCGCTGAAAAAAACAGCAACGAACGTGGGATGTGGTGTGATGCCTCAGTGGTGTTTTGTGCCGGCGTGTCTCAGAAGAGTTTTGTGACCCCTGATCAAAACACGCAAAAATCTTGGAGTGTCTTTCCTACGACGCATTGTGCTTGAGTTAAGTCGGGCATGTCCCTCTACAGGGGGGAATGTTCAAAAATAGTCCAAACATAGTCTAAGGACTATTCTTTGAGTATTTTCAAGCATTATTGAATCTCTTTCGACATTGTTTATATTTTCGTCCAAAATCTGCCTGTAGGGGAACACGCCCGATCTAAGGTGTGAGTTGGGGAAACAAAGGTGTCACGGCCTGTGCTCGTCCCGCGGCTGCCCCCTCCCTGGTTCCAGCGTTGCGGACAGTCCGCCTCGGGCGTTCGCATGGCCGGGCTGCTGGGCCGCGGGCGCAAGCGGCGGCGACGGCCTCTACGAAGGATCAGCCCCGGGGGGGGGGGCGAACCCTCCGTGGCGCCCAGCACCAGATCCCTCTGGCTGCCTGCTCTCCCCAGCCCCCACGCGGCGGGGGGTGCTCCTGGAACGCGGAGGGGGGTGGGGCGACGGGCGTGCCTGGTCGTGGGGTGGGGGGGGGGGGGGCAGAAGTGGAGCAGGCATTGGCCAAGACAGCAGTGTTGAGGAGCTGTGCTTTTGGGGGTGGCTGTCAGGGTCGTCAGCGCTGTCGGGGGTCTCACCCGGGCCAGTGGCTCGGGGTTCCTTCGCTTCCCTGAGGGCTTCCTTTTCCTTGTTTCTTTAGGGGAACAGAAAGTGGCATACACCTCAGGCGATGCTCAAGAAAACCTGCATTTTCGGCCAGAGTCTCGATTATTCTTAATGTTTCAATTGAATTCCTAAGATTTTGATAGAAATTCTGGGTTTTATTAAAATTCTGAGACTATGAATTTCTTAACCCATGATTTCTTAAGCATTTCGCAGGGTGTAAACATAACAACTCGGAGTTTCGCGCGGATTTCGTCGGATCGGCGCTGGACCCCCTTGCCTGGCGCGCGGAGCGCGCCAGGGGCGGCGCCGGAGGCGCCGCCGGGGGGCCCCAGCGCCGATCCGAGAAATCCGCACGGACCTCAGAGTTTTTATGTTTGTATCTCTTTTTGTTCCCCTAGTCTGGGGTCCTGTGCGCTGTCTGGGAGGTTCTCTTCGCGAATTAATCGTCGGTTCCACAAAAACCAAGAACATATGGGAGAATATGGGGAATCCTGTTATTTGTGTGTGTGTGTTTATTTGTGTGTCCCAGGGCCCCTTCAAAACTGGCCTTTACTCAAGAGGCCTGGTCGTTCATTAAACATGTCTGCCATACTCAATTCCGTCCTTTGGTGCATATGTTTCGACTGGCGTCGCTTGTAGGGGTCCTTATTTTCACGTTGATGATTCTGCCCTCTATGTTTGCTCAAGGGGAAAGGCATTGTTAGCATCGCTTCATTTCGTCATTGGCCATGCCCCGTCAAAAACGTGGCGATGGCCCGACGCATGATTTCGCATCCAAACCTATTCCAAATCGTTATGAAGGGGGGATGGGAATCAGGCTTTGTTGTTATTGGTGTGGGGCATTTTATCGGTACGATCAACACGCAGACTGCAGACTGCTACTTCGGGGAATCCTACCAACACCAGTCCTTGACACTGTTGTAGCCATATTCGCTGTCGGCGTCGCGGGCGGTGTCCGTGTAAGGGAGCATACCCAGCAGCGGCCGAGGTTGAGCTCCGGACAACACGTGCTGGCGGGCATCGTACTCGCCTTTCTCCTCTTGGATGGTGGCGACCCTCCCCCCCGCACCTCGCGGATCATGCCCAGCAGCGGCCCAAGTTTAGTCTTGGAACAGCATGTGCCTTTGGGCATCGTTCTCGCTCTCCTCCTCTTGGACGGTGGCGATCCTCCCCACCCCCACACCTGATGAGCATGCTTTCCAGCGCCACCACCACAAGCTGGATTGGGGGAAGGAGGCTTCCTCCTCCTCCTCCTCTCCCCTGGGAGGCGGCGCGAGAGCGCGAAGTGGTTCGCACTTCGCGCTTCGCTCAGCGCTCAGCGCTAAGTTGGGAGCCCTTGGAAAAGGAGGGGGAGGAGGAGGAGGGTGAAGATGAGGATGAGGGTGAGGATGGTGAGGATGCGGAGAAGGAGGAAGAGCAGGAGGAGGAGGAGGAGGAGGAGGGCGAGGAGGAGGACGAAGAGGAGGAGGAGGAGGAGGAGGAGGAGGAGGCGGAGAAGGACCCCCCCTCCACCTTATGGTGGTGGTGGTGGAAAGCACGCCCATCAACACCTCCTCCCACCCCGATCGACGTGTCGGGTCCGAGTGCAAGCTCGGGTCCGACTGCAACTTTTTTACTGCGCCAGTGTCCTACATTGTCCATTCGGTTCTCTAGATAGAGGCTGCTGGTTCAGTTTGGCCGCCGGCATGTCTAAGCCAGACGAGGCCTCGGCGACGAATCGGGGGCAGACCCCCCCCAAAAAAAACACCTCCCCCCCCCCCCCCGATGTTGCCCAGGGGCCGTGCGGGCGCTGACCGACGCTGCCGCCGGCTCGGGAGCGCTGTCGCGGCTGGAGCGGCCGCCCGGGCCGTGGAAGCTCCGGGCCCGGCCAGCCTCGCCGGAGCCGCCGATCCCCCGCGGGGCAGCGGCGGGGGGCGGGGGCGGTTGGCTCCGGCTGCGGTCGGGCGGGGGGTAAGGTTCAGTCGGGCCTGTTTCTCTACAGAAGGAATACTCCATTATCCCGGCAAAGCAACCTAACAGCGATGTGTATAATCAGAGCGTGAATTACCCACCCCGCTTTCGCTTCCAGGCAAAACCAAGTCATACCACGCGCCTCCTCGTCAAGCGGCCTGACCAGTACAGGCCGTAGTTTGGCATCGTTTGGTATCTCTTGGAAGCGAGGGTGGTCAAAAGCGAGTTAGGTTTGTTTTCCCCCTATATAAGCAGATCTGGAAGCATTCCCCTTAAGACTCAGGTGAGAATCCAGTTGTAGAATTTTGCTGTTCTCGCAGTCGCAGTCGCATTCGCAATGACAATCGCAGTGGCAACGGCCTTAGGATCCAATGGAATCCTAAGGATTCCTAGGGATTCCTAAGGCATCCTTAGGAATCCATCGGAATCCTTAGGAAACCTTAGGAATCTTTAGGAATCCTGATTCCTAGGGATTCCGAGGGATTCCTAAGGATTCCTAGGGAATCCTAAGGATTCCTAAGGAGTCCTGAGGATGCTTAACTATGCCTACGGATTCCTAAGGATGCCTACGGATTCCTAAGGACTCCTAGGGATTCCTATGGATTCCTATGGATTCCTACGGATGCCTCAGCCTGCCTCAGTTTCAGCCTCAGCCTCAGCCTGCCTCGGCTTGCCTCAGCCTCAGCCTGACTCGGCCTCAGCCTCAGCCTGCCTCAGCCTCAGCCTCAGCCTGCCTCGGCCTCAGCCTGCGTCAGCCTCAGCCTCAGCCTGCCTCAGCCTCAGCCTGCCTCAGCCTCAGCCTCAGCCTCAGCCTCAGCCTGCCTCGGCTTGCTTCAGTCTCTGCCTCAGCCTGCCTCGGCCTCAGCCTGCCTCGGCCTCAGCCTGCCTCAGCCTCCCCTCCTCCCCCCCCCCTCCCCCCCCCCTCATTCAGCCTCACCTCGTCTCAGTTTCGGCCTGCCTCGGCCTCATCCTCAGCCTCAGCCTCAGTCTCAGCCTCAGCCTGTCTCGGCTTGCGCCTGCCTCGGCCTCAGCCTCAGCCTGCCTCAGTTTGCCTCAGCCTCAGCCTCAGCCTGTCTCAGCCTCAGCCTGCCTCAGCATCAGCCTCAGCCTCGGCCTCAGCCTGCCTCGGCTAGCCTCGGCTAGCCTCGGCCTCAGCCTCAGCCTGCCTCGGTCTCAGCCTCAGCCTCAGCCTGTCTCAGCCTCAGCCTCAGCCTGCCTCAGCCTCAGCCTGCATCAGCCTCAGCCTCAGCCTGCCTCAGCCGCAGCTTGACTCAGCCTCAGCCACAGCCTCAGCTTCAGCCTCAGCCTCAGCCTGCCTCGGCTTGCCTCAGCCTCAGCCTCAGCCTCAGCCTGCCTCGGTCTCAGCCTCAGCCTCAGCCTGCCTCAGCCTCAGCCTCAGCCTCTCAGCCTCAGCCTGCATCAGCCTCAGCCTCAGCCTCAGCCTGCCCCAGCCTCAGTCTCAGCCTGCCTCAGCCTCAGCCTGCCTCAGCCTCAGCCTCAGCCTGCCTCGTCCTCAGCCTGCGTCAGCCTCAGCCTCAGCCTGCCTCAGCCTGCCTCAGTCTCAGCCTCAGCCTGCCTCGGCGTGCCTCAGCCTCAGCCTCAGCCTGCCTCGGCCTCAGCCTGCCTCGGCCTCAGCCTGCCTCAGCGCGGGCATTCAAAATATGGCACAGTACTGGTGTTTTGGGAACACGAAGATCACGAAGTGGCCCACAGCTGGCTCCGGGCAATCAAAATAGAGTACAGGAATGGTGCTCTGGGAGCACGAAGAACGCGAAGTGGCCCATAGTTGGCTCCGGGCATTCAAAATGTGGCCTGGGAATGGTGTTCTGGGAACACGAAGAACACGAAGTGGCCTACAGCTGGTTCGGGGCATTCAAAATGTGGCCTGGGAATGGTGTTCTGGGAAGACGAAGAACACGAAGTGACCTACAGTTGGCTTCGAGTATTCAAAATGTGGCCTGGGAATGATGTTATGGGAACACGAAGAGTAGAAATCCATAGGAAACTATTGGAATCTACAGGAGTCCTGGGGAGTTCCCGGGTTCCCCGGCTTCTCCCGGCACCCGCCCAGACCCCCCTGGGGAGTCAAGATGTTTTCTTTCGAGCCCACTAGAAACCTATCAGTCTTCGCTGTTAGGCAAAAATAGCCCAAAAATAGTTTGGGGCGATTTTTCTAGTATCTTTGGCCATTTCGCAGTTTTTTATAAACAACTATTTTGTTAGCTTTCGTCATAGATCCTCCTGTAGGGGGACACGCCCGACGTAAGGGTAAGGGGGGGGGACTTCAATGGGGGTCGGGGACCGTATGCTCAGAGGAGGAAGAGGTAGCCATGCCTCTACACCTTGGGCGATGCTTAAGAAAACCTAAGTTTTCGTCCAGAGTCTCGAAGATTCTTAATTTTTCAATGTAAATCCGAAGATTTTGATAGAAGTTCGGGGTTTTATTCAATTTCTGAGACTATGAGTTTCTTAATCCATGATTTCTTAAGCATTTCGCAGGGTGTACCCTGCGCCCGTTCTCCCCCTTGTGGGCCTCCTCGGAGGCCCTCGCTGTGGAGTCGCCGACGCCCCTGTCAGAACGCACCCCGGGAGAGGTCCGAGGAGCTCAGTGGGCCCTGGAAACGACAGGGCCGTTTTTTCACCGGTTCCGTTTTGCCGTCTTTGCTGCCGGTTCCGACGCCGTTTTGTTCCCGGTTCCGTCGCCGTTTCTTGACCGCTTCCGGCTCCTGTTCCAATCCTGGAGCCGTGTTTGTTGCCGTTCCCGGTCGCCGTTTTTTGCCGTTTCCATTTTCAAGGGGTATTTTTTATTTGGAAACGGTGAAAAAACGGCCTTGCCGTTTCTGGGGCCCACAAAGCCGAGGAGTATAGCGGTATCGGTACTTTCGAGTTTCCCCATACACCTCCAATTTCAATTCTCGTTGCGACTTCCGCGGAAGGTGTGGAAGCATTCATGAAGTTTCGTGGAATTTTTTTACGCGGTGCCAGGGAACCCACATCGATCGCATCGACAAAAGGAGCAGAAGGTCAGGGCGGGTGGCCCGGGAGAGCGAGGGGGTGGAGAGGGCCCCAACGGGGCCCTTTAGGGGAGGGGTCATTTGTCGGAGGTGGATTGACCTCCTACCCTGACACGTCGATTAAGGAATTTGCCGTTTTCGGTTCGCGAGAGGGCGTCGCAGCCGTCATTTTTGCGGGTCCAGGTCCGTCGGTTTCGGTCCCGTTTTTTTTCGTTAAGGGGAGGTTTACTAAAGGGAGGTTCGTCCACCGCCGAATTTGGGAGCCAGCAGGGGCCAGAGAGGGGCCCCAAGGGGGCCGCTTTTTGGGGCCCTGTTCCTCACCCCCCACGCAGGTCACCCCCCAGCACACCCCGCCCGATCCAGGGGGGTCCCCAGCAGCGATGCTGTCGCTCCTCCTCCCCCTCCTCCTCCTCCTCCTCCTCCTCCTCCTCCGTCCTCCTCCTCCTCCGTCCTCCTCATTCGTCGTCCTCCTCCTCTTCCTCCTCCTCCCTCCTTCTCCTCCTCCTCATCCTCCTCCTCCTCCTCCGTCTTCCTCCTCCTCCTCCTCCTCCTCCTCCTTCCTCCTCCTCCTCCTCCTCCTCCTCCTCCTCCTCCTCCTCCCCCTGCTCCTCCTCCTCCGTCTTCCTCTTCCCCTTTCCCCGATCGCTGCCTGGGCGCTGGGGAAGCTCGAGGCTCGGCAAGGCGTGCGGGGACCCTTTTCCGCTGAGAGTGGGGCGCAGGCGGTTGGCCGCAGGCACACCTGCCACCGATGTTGCCCTCCAGCTCACGGCCAACCATTTGTTCATGAGAAGGCGATTCTCCTCATCATCCTCCTCATCCCCCTATCATCCTCCTTCTCCTCTTCCTGATCTTCCACCATTATTATCCTCCTCCTCCTCCTCCTCCTTCTCCTACCTCCTTCTCCTCTTACCTCCTCCTCCTCCTCCTCCTCCTCCTCCTCCTCCTCTTCCTCCTCCCCCGTCCTCCTCCTCCCCTTCCCTTCTTCTCCTCCTCCCAGCTCACGGTGGGACACTTGGCACCGATATTGCCATGAGAAGGCGAAAGGCGTGTCAAGGGCACTTTTCGTCTGATTGACCCAGAAGGGGGTCCAGCGAAAAGAGTGGTGCAGCAAAGTTGGTGCAACAGGTTTGCGGGGTTGCAGTAGATTTGGGGTGTGCAATACATGCCTGCGCGCAAATGCATTGCTGGAAATGTTGCGTGCGATACAGCGACGGCATCCCAATGCAGTACACTTCTCTGGCGCGATGCATTTGCAATACAAGTGCCTCAAAACTAGTGCACCACACCCTTCCAGTTGGACCCCCTTTCATCAGCGAGCGAAGAACGGTATGAAATAAACGTTTTCGCTGTCGGGGGCGCCTGTCCCTGGGCGGCTGGAAAGTTTATACCCCTACGGTGCCACCGTAAGGGTATAAACTTTCCAGCCGCCCAGGGACAGGCGCCCCCGCCAGCGAAAACGTTTATTCTTGGGCTTACGCCACACCGCCGACCCCTTGGGGGGGCTCGCAGCGCGTCGCCTTCGCTCAGAATCTGACCGCTGGGGACGGGATGGATAAGGCCCGCGTTTACAGACGTGAGCCATTTATCGGACAGTCAGAAAGAACATTACAGGAGAACGGGCCAAACGCATCGCCCGGTCATGTGCCGCGCGTGCCACGAAAAATCGGAGGCCCAGATTTTCCGTTGTGGAGCATGCCCGACGGGGGCGGATGGGAAGGCGCCCGCGTTCACAGACTTGAGCCATTTGTCCGATAACCAGAAAGTACATTATAGGAAGACGGGCCAGGCGCATCGCCCAGTCGTGTGCCGCGCGTGTCACGATGCGCGCACGGGGGCGAAAAAGTTTGAATGCTCCGCGTGCCCACCGAACGG